ATCTATCTATCTATCTATCTATCTATCTATCTATCTATCTATCTATCTATCTATCTATCTATCTATTCTATCTATCTATATCCCTCTACCTACCTTCCTACTTTCTCTTTCTCTCCCTACCTACCTACTGTATTTCTCTCCCTCCCTCTCCCTCTATCTACCTATGTACCTACCTACCTACTCTCTCTCCCCCTACCTATCTACTGTATTTCTCTCTCTCTCTCTTTCTCTCTCTATAACTCTCTACCTACATACTCTATCTCACTCTCCTACCTACCTACTGTATTTCTCTCTCTTTCTCTCTCTCTCTATTCCTCTTCTATCTACCTACTTTTTTAAAAAAAATTGCCTCTTCAAAACCTTAGTGCATCTTATACTCCGGTGCATCTTATAATCCAAAAAATACAGTAAATAGAACCAGATTTGAGCATTTGCTCATTTATTCTCAGTTCTGCTTCTAAATAATTTCTCAAATATTCTGGAATCACTTACTTGGATTTACTTACGTAGTTACTGCCTTTATTATTTTTATAAACAACTCAAGGCAGAGAACATAGCTAATATATTTCCTCCTCTTATTTTCCTCACAACAACAACCCTGTGAGGTGAATTGGGCTGAGAGAGAGGGACTGGCCCAAGGTCACCCACCTGGTTTTCATGATTGAGGTGGGATTTGAACTCACAATCTGCTTTCTAGCTTGGTACTTTAACCAATAGATCAAACTGGCTCTAAATACCACCCTTATTACTTTATTGCTTCTTTAAAAAGAGAGAGAGAGTACCCCCAAAATACAGTAAGGCAAATGCCTATTTAGTTATCCATATATTAACTGCTGCTAGAATTGTGTTTGCACAAAATTGGAAGAGTGAAGAGATACCTACAGATGAGAATGAGATTAGGAAAATATTAGAATGTGTAGAAATGAATAGATTAACACTGGCAATTAAGAAGAAAGCGCAAACTGAAAATAATATGGTATGGGATCTCTTTTACCAATGGTTCAATAATAAAAATGGAAGTTAGAAATAGGAAACGACAAAAAGAAGATATGTTAAAGGAGATAAGTAAATATTATGGCTAGTCTGTTGAATATTATTATGTTAATATTGTAGAATTAATATGTGGACTATTATTATGTTAAAGATTGCGGAATCAATATTAATTTGATGAAGGAGAGTGTTATTTTGATTATTGTTTAACAAAGACATTTGTAGCCAGACAATACACTGTTCAACTGAAGATGGAATGATTATATTAAAAATAAAAAAAATGTATTACTCAGAAAAAGAGAGAGAGAAGAAATAAAACTTGGCGGTACGGGGGAAGCACAGAAAGCTGAATGCTAAAGCAAATTTCTCACTACAGTTTTGCCTGGTGTCAAATGATCATTATTATTTGAAAACAACATCTATAATCGTATTCCACATATTTCTCAAGTCCGTGTTTTGCAATATTTCTCCCACCCAGGATAAACACATAAAACCCTGAAAGAGCTGGTGTAACATTCCCATGGGAAAGTCTGAACTCTGCAAAGAAAAAAAAAAAGGGCTACGCTAACTGTGTGAAATCACAAACTAAATAACTGTTAACCAACCCCACACACCAGTATTGTGATTTCCCTAAAAAGTGGAAGAGAGACTTAAAACAGAGTATCTTTGATGAAGTAACTATCATCCTTGGAGTGTTATTCTTGTAGATGTGAAGTGTTTAAACAAACAGCATAGATGTGTAATTGATTGTTCAGTCAGATTAATGTCTGGCAAATATTGCTGACTTTCTCCTCATAGAGTGTTAGTAACCTCTCAGGCAGTCTTCCCCGATTGGTTCCATGATCTTTACTAGCAACAGAAGAGTTTGCTCGCCTGATCACAGAATTAAATCTGACACTCTAATAATTGGGTTATATTGGATGGATTCTTCCTTTATCTCTTATCTCTTCCTTTATCTCTCAAGGTGGGTTGCTCCTGGTTCGGCCCGGTTGAGCCAAACTGGTAGTGGAATTCAGGCCTGGGTCACAGAACCGGTAGCGACCCAGGCCTGCCACACCCCTGAACCGGTTCCCTCGTCGCCGCTGGGCCACCACCATTTTGGTTTTTAGTGACTGCGTGTGTGCAGTTCATTGTAAATTGTTCTGCGCACGCACGAAGAACAATTTACATGGAACAGCACATGTGGGGGTTCTGCGGGGTTGTGAACCGGTAGTAAAACTGGCAGCAACCCACCCCTGAACAGAATTTATGACTCAGAATCAGAATCAGAACAGAGCTGGATGGGACCTTGGAGTTCTTCTAGTCCAACCCCCTGCTGAAGCAGAATATCTTATACCAGGGGTCAGTAACCTGTGGCTCTGGAGCCGCATGTGGCTCTTTCATCCCTCTGCTGTGGTTCCCTGTCGCTCAAAATATGTGTCATAACCGCCAGTGTGTGATACCTGCCGGCACACGATTTATTGAGCTTTTCGACTCTCGGTAGGCCAACCATGGATAAATCCAAGAAAAGAAAAGTTTTAGAAGAAAACAAGGCTTAATTCAACTACATATGCTAGTTCTGTGGCAACTCAGGAAATAGTCAGGCATGGGAAGGGTTTTGTGGCTCCCAGTGTTTTCTTTTCTGTGGGAAATGGGTCCAAATGGCTCTTTGAGTGTTTAAGGTTGCCGACCAGAGGTGGGTTCCTACCAGTTCGCACCTATTCAGTAGAACCGGTTCATCAAATCTACCAAACCGGGTAGAAGAGGTTCTACCAGTGGACCCGGAAAGCAGGCCACACCTACAGAAGAGGTTCCAAACTTTTTTGAAACCCACCACTGGTCCTTGGATATGATTATTCTACACTATCATGCTCATATTTATAAAACTCAGTGCCTCTGTGAAAGGTAAGGATGACTANGTTGAGATCTGGACCCTCACCTCCCTTCCAGCTTTCCGCAAAGCCACAAAGACCTGGTTGTTCCGGCAGGCCTGGGGCTGATGAAATCCTTGCCCCACTGGAAGTTGCGACTGTTGTTATATTTTAATTTGTTTGTCTTTTTTCTTATTTGTATCCTCTTCCCTCTTTGGTTGTTAGCCGCCCTGAATCTCTCGGGAATAGGGCGGCATACAAATTGAATAAACTACAACTACTACAACTCCTCACTGTCCGAATCTGCTGCCAGCTCCACAGGCCGCTGGCGGGTCACAACATCACTTCAGTGGGCAGGTAACAGAGTTCCATGCGCCTCCTCATAGTCATGCCAGCCACATGATCACAGTAGCGTCTTCGGACAGAGCTGGCTACCTTGGCTAAGAAACAGAGAAGAGCAGCGCCCCCTAGAGTCTGACATAGGATAGAGGAAACCTTTACCTTAACTGATCGAGTCTCAAACCCTTGCGATGCCACGTTATCTTTCAGGCTTGAACAATGGTGGACAATTTGAGAGGAAATTGGGTATTTAAAAAAAAAAAAGGGATAATTCTTTCTTGCAGGTGCCTCTTCCCCTCCTCTTTCTTTGCAAAGAACAGAAATGGAATGCAAGGCTCACTCCAGCTGTGAGCAGACAGTTGGCCTAGCAACAGGCTGTGTGTTTGTGCGTGTGTGCGTGTGTGCGTGCGTGCATGTGTGTGTTAGGGACGGCCTTAAATTTATACCCTAGGGAGTTTGGTAAACAGCCAGAGCAGGAAAGAGTACTGCAGGGTTCCCCCCCACCCTGCCCCAGATATTTCACCGTTGCTCGGCTGCTAGTAATCCTTAACCTAATTTCGCATATGTGTCAATGCTCAACGTTTAATTTGGGCCAAATTCTCATTCTCAAAAACTCATTTTGGGGGGGAATGCCTGATAACAAAGAAAATAACCCAGCGAAATTCTTAACTTGGTTAAGAATCAACTGTTCTGCCCTTCCGAGGATTAGCTGGGTGGCGATAACTAAAGAAATGGGGCTGGGGATCAGGCGGCTGGGGCCCAGGGAAGCCAACGAAGACGGGCGCTTGAAGAGGAGGGCGTCCTCCGCCTTACTCTGCTGACTTCCAGAAGTGGCCGGGGTGAGACAGGCGGCGGTTCCGCTTTGGCAGTTTCTCCAGCATCTCCATGAGTTTGGTGAAAGTGGGTCGCTCCTCCTGCTCGTAGGCCCAGCAGAAGAGGAGGATGTCCTGCGAAGAGAAGAGAAGAAAAAAGGGCTATGCGAGGAGAGAGAGAGAGTGGGGGAGGGAGGGAGGGAGGGAAAAGAAAGAGAGAAAGAAAAGAAAGAGAATATAAGAGGCATAGAGAGAAAGAGGAAGGAAGGAAAGAAGGAAGGAAGGAAGGAAGGAAGGAAGGAAGGAGGGAAGGAAGGAAGGAGGGAAAGAATCCCCCCCATCCTACTGCTCTCCCTTCTAGTCCTGATTATGTTTGCCTAATTGGGTAATGAAATGTCTGCAAGAAAATGACCAAGCTCAGAGAGCACTAAGAACCCCATGGTCCTCCTCCTCCTCTCAACAAACCACCCCTCTTTTCTAGCACTTATCTAATTTGGGTAATGAAACGTTCGCAAGAAACCAAGGACGCTCAGAGAACACCAAGGACCCCACAGTCTTTCTCCTCCTCTTCCTCTCCCACAAACTGCCTTCTAGCACTGATGATGTTATCTAATTTGGGTAATGAAACGTTTGCAAGAAACCGACCAAGCTCAGAGAACACCAAGGACCCCACAGTCTTCCTCCTTCTCTTCCTCTTCCTCCTTCTTCCTCCTCTCTGTAAACCCCATTTCCTTCTAGCACCGATGATGTTCTCTAATTTGGGTAATGAAACGTTTGCAAGAAACCAAGGAAGCTCAGAGAACACCAAGGACCACACAGTCTTCCTCCTCCTCCTCCTCCTCCTCCTCCTCTTCCTCTTCCACAAACTCCCTTCTAGCACTGATGATGTTATCTAATTTGGATAATGAAATGTCTGCAAGAAACCGACCAAGCTCAGAGAACACCAAGGACCCCACAGTCTTCCTCCTTCTCTTCCTCTTCTTCTTCTTCCTCCTCCTCTCTGTAAACCCCATTTCCTTCTAGCACTGATGATGTTATCAAATTTGGATAATGAAACATTTGCAAGAAACCGACCAAGCTTTGAGAACATCAAGGATTCCACAGTCTTCTTCCCCCCCCTCCTCCTCCTCATCCCTGTAAACCTCACTTTCTTCCAGAACTGATGATGTTCCCTAGTTGTGTAATGTAACGTCTGCCCCCACCTTAAAAAAAAAAAAAGCAACAATCAAGCACCAGGGATCCCTTGCTGCTCTGGGCTTTCTTCTCCACTCCCTTCCCACCCCTTCACCCGAAAGTCACCTACTGAAATCTCCTTCCCCATGCCGATCTGGCTGAGGTTCGGCTTCATCCCTCGGCCCACTTGCCAAATTATTGCCTCAGCTGGTTGGGTCTTGAAAGGCCATTCCCGGGCGTACAGTTCAAACCAGATGGTTCTGTGGAGGCAAAGTAGGAGACCAAGTTAATAAGCGTTGGGGCTCTAGAAGGACTCCCCTCTGGCCATCAAAGCAAAACGGTTAGAAGAGAGCGGAGAACATCCTGGCATGGCTAAAGGGATAAGGAAGGGCTTGCTCTGGGGTTTCTCTTCTGGAGAATGTGGAAAATGTTTGTTCTGACCGAGGCTTCCCAAGCGCATGAAGGAAACTCCTGGTCCCCACAAAAAAAAACCCTTTTATTAATTGACTGTGAATTCTGCTCCTTCACATCCAGCAAAGTCTTTCGAGGGAGCATTTATGGTCACAGACCTTATCTGGCTTGGAGAGCTGCCAGGCTGATATCTGCAAAACTTGGCAAGGAGCCTCAGAGAGTCA